CCCCCCCCACACCCGATCCATGACCGCAGAAGCCCAGTGCAGGGGCGATCACAGAAGCCAGGCGCGTGGGCAAGGAAGCAGCCTCCGCCAGCGCCCCGGCCACGGCTTCCCTGCCCCGCACCCAGCTTCTACGATCTGTGACCGCAGAAGCCGAAGCCCGGTGCGGGGGCGATCGCAGAAGCTGAGTGTGGGTCAGGGAAGCAGCTGCTGACAACATCCCCAGCCGCAGCTTCCCTGCCCTGCACCTGGCTTCTGCAATTGGTGATCGCAGAAGCCCAGTGCAGGGGCGATCACAGAAGCCAGGTGCGTGGGCAGGGAAGCAGCCTCCACCAGCGCCCAGCCATGGCTTCCCTGCCCCGCACCTGGCTTCTGTGATCGGTGACCACAGAAGCCGGGTGAGGGGGCCATCGCAGAAGCTGGGTGCGGGTCAGGCCAGCCTCCCCGGCCGCGGCTTCCCTGCCCCACACCCGACTTCTGTGATCTGTGACTGCAGAAGCTGGGTGCAGGGGTGATCACAGAAGCCAGGTGCTGGGCAGGGAAGCAGCCTCAGCCAGCTTCCCCGGCTTCGGCTTCTGTAATTGGTGATGCCTAGTTTTGCAGACACTTAACTGACTACCTTCCATGGAAGCACAGAAGAAGAAGCCCCCAGAAGAAGCCGCCCACCTTTGGTCCTGGCGCCAGCGCCTGGGGCTGGCTGCAGCCCAGAGATGGATAGCCTCCAGAAGAAGAAACCGCCCACCTTTGGTCCTGGCGCCAGCACCTGGGGCTGGCTGCAGCCCAGGAGATGGACAAGCTACCGGCCAGAGGTCCCAGGCTGCAGCCACCTGGAGAAGCTACCAGCCCTGTGGTCCAGGGAGCCAGCACCTGTGGCCAGGAAAACAGTTTCCCTCTTCTACTGTAGTCATTACTTCAATATTCCCCTTCTGAATTTCTTTCCTGTGCTGCAACCCAACTCCACTTTTCATCGAAAGGATACAGAACAGAGAGAGAAGTGTTAAAAGCTTACATTTTTAAGCCGGTAAGGTTGGTACTTAAACATATAAATGGAAAACTAGAGTCCCCTTAAGGTCACAAAGGCTACAAAGGACAGGGACAGCGCATGACCTATTATATCCAGCAATCCATATGGGGACTGACAACTTTGCAATCTGTATTATAGAGAAAGAGCAAATAGCAATATTAAAATATTTCCACTAATTGCCCCCCACCTCAAGTGCACAAATTTTGTGCACCGGGCTACTAGTATCCTATATAATAAAAGCCCAGGGACCGAACAGTAGAGTGACCAGAATGACCGGTTGACCAGTTGCTATGATGCACACTGACTACCAGGGGGCAGATGTTAAAGGGAGGAGCTGTCCCCTGGTGGTCAGTGCGCTACCACTGTGGGAGCACTGCTTGGCTGACTGGGATGAGCAGCTGCTCCCTCTGTGAACCGGGTGATTCTCTCTCATCACTGGCCACGCTCCCCGGGTGATTCTCTCTCATCACTGGGCCAATGGGCAGGAACCTGCACTGTGGACGTTGCTTCCTCACCCCAGGCTTCTCCTTCTCGCTCCCTGCCGCCTCCTCTGGACGCCCACAGGCCATGCAGCACCGCTGCTGCTGGGCTCATAGAGCTGACCCTGGAGGCTGGGAGGTGGGTTAGTGATCGCCTCTCAGTGCTATTGTCCCTGGGCCCTGACCAGGTCCCCTGCAGAGGCGAGTGCTCCAGCTCCCAGAAAATGCCAGACCAGGGTCCACAGCTGCTCAGCTGACTGCTCAGTGCTCCCACAGCAGGCTGATCCCCACAGGCCATGGCCCCACCAGTGCACAAATCCCCTGCACCAGGCCTTTAGTCCTATATAATAAAAGCGAAAAATGGTAATTGGCGTACGACGATACCCTTTTCATTGGCTAATCAGGGCTATATGCAAATTAACTGCCAACTCAGATGGCAGTTAACTAACAACAAAATGGCGGTTAATTTGCATATGTAGGCACAATGCAGGGAGGTGAAACGGAAAGCAAGAACCCCCCTGCCACTGACAGTGATCAGAAACCCAGGGGGGCGCTAAGAGCCTCCAGGGCCGCCTTTGCCCTGCCCCCCAGCCATGATCGGAGAATCAGGCGCCTTTTCCACCCTGGCCAGTGATAGCAGGAAGTAGGGGTGGAGCCAGCGATGGGAGCTGGGCAGGGTCAAAGCTGGCAGTCCCGGGAGCTAGGGGTCCCTTGCCTGGGCCTAAGGCGGAGCCCACGATCGCGGGGCCGCTGCTGCTGCGGGTCCCCGCTGCCTGGGCAGGACGCCTCGGCCAGAGGCATTAGGCCTGGGCAGGGGCAGAGCGGGAGATGGCGGGGAGCTGGGGTCCCCCTGCCCAAGCCTAATGACTTGGCCAGAGGCGTTAGACCTGGGCAGGGGCGGAGCCTGTAACTGTGGGGAGCTGGGGGTGCCCTGCCCAGGCCTGACACCTCTGCCAGAGGCCTCAGGCCTGGACAAGGGACCGATCCGGTGATCAGCGATCAGATGGGGATGAGGGTCAACTCCTCTGGCCGAGGCATCAGGCCTGGGCGGGGGGTGGAGCCAGCAATTGGAGGGGGCTGGGGGTCCCCTGCCCAGGCCTGAATCCTGGGCCAGAGGCATCAGGCCTGGGCCAGGGGCAGAGCCAGCACTCAGAGGGGGCTTGGGGTCCCCTCCCCCGGCCTGACGCCTGGGCCAGAGGCATCAGGCCTGGGCCAGGGGCAGAGCCAGCACTCAGAGGGGGCTTGGGGTCCCCTCCCCCGGCCTGACGCCTGGGCCAGAGGCATCAGGCCTGGGCCAGGGGCAGAGCCAGCACTCAGAGGGGGCTTGGGGTCCCCTCCCCCGGCCTGACGCCTGGGCCAGAGGCACAAGACCTGGGCTGGGGGCAGAACCAGTGATGGGGGGAAATGAGGGTCCCCTGCCCAGGCCTAACGCCTCTGGTAGAGGCGTCAGGCTGGGCAAGGGGCCGATCCTGCAATTGGACATTGATGGGGGTCAATAACTGAGGGCTCCCAGTATGTGAGAGGGGGCAGGCTGGGCTGAGGGACACTCCCCCTCACCCCCACCCAGTGCACAAATTTCGTGCACTGGGCCCCTAGTATGTAATATAAGACATGTATTAGAAAATGTGTTCACATCTCAAAAATCCCAATAAGAAGCTCTATGGAAACACACCCCCACCACTTGTGGTCTCTGCAAGAGCTCACATGACACATGGCAGTTTAAAGTGGTTTTACGCTGATACTAAACTCAACTGAAATGTGGATGTGGGTTACAAGTTTATCAGTCCAAATGGAAACCGGAGGTAACCCTAAATAAAGGACTAAACAGAGTGCAGGTATTTTGGTGAGGGGGAAAAAATTCTAGGTCTATTCCGTTCTGAAATCCAATCAAAGAGGGAAGCAAGGTTTTGAGGTACAATTGGGAAGTTTTTGTGGAGATATAAAAATATCTTTAAAAATATATATCTTTACAACTGTACTATATAATAAAAGAGAAACATGCAAATTAATTGTCCCTCTGCTACACTCACCAGCCAATCAGAGAGTATGCAAATTAACCTGACAAAGATGGAGAGCTAATTTGCACACATAGGCACTGGGCAGCCAGGGATGGGGCAGATACTTCCCCCATGTTGCCATGGCGATGCAGGGGAAGTGTCAGCCCTGCGGCCGCTGGCGCATGCACAGGCACCAGGGAGACAGGGGCAGGGTGGTGTGCACGGATGCCAGGGAGCCTAGGTCAGGGTAGGAGCGTCCCCCGTGTCACCATGGAGTGTGTGCGCTGGCCCGCTGGAGTGCGTGGCTGGCCCGCTATGCCCACCAGCCAATCAGGGTGAGTATGCAAATTAACCCAACAGAGATGGCAGCGGCCATGAAGCTGGAGGCTTGGGTTGTCCCTGGCGACGGAGGAAGACAAGCTTCCTGCCCGCCCTGGCTGCCGCTCAGGGAGGGGCTGGCCTCCTCTCATGGAGGGGCTGGTAGCCTGGGTTGTGGGGGTGGGGGGAACGTGGCCAGCCTGAAAATGGTCCTCAGCTACTTACCTAGGCTGGCCACACCCCCATGGAGTAAGAATACCCGCTGGGGGGCCTGGCCAGTCTGCAAACAGGCCTCAGCCCCTCACCCAGGCTGGCCAGGCACCCCAGCGGGACCCCCCACCCTGAAGGGGCTGTGGCCAGCCTGCAAACAGGCCTCAGCCCCTCACCCCAGCTGGCCCCACC